CAGCCAATCCAGAGCGACTAAGTATGGTGTGACCAATCATACAGCCTGGATACAAGAAAACAAAAAATCCCATGGGGAAAAGCCCCTTACAAATATCAAAGGCAGAGCAAGGCAGCACATGGTGTCTGGGGCTGAGAAGAGCCTTTCATACATGAAGGAAATGTGGTTCAGTTTCTTTTGAAATAACAAGGTCCAGGCCACGTTAGGAAAGCGTGAGCCTGCCAATGGTTGTGTTAACGGAGACGAAAGCCTCACCGAGAGCCACTGAGTAGAAAGAACCTTCCTCTGCACACCCCCTCCCTCCCCAGACCCTGCCCTGTACTTGTCTGATGAGTTACTGGGGGTTCCTGAGCCCTTAACGTCACTTGATGTAAAATATTAGAACACAAGGGGAGTCTGAAGACAGCCGCATTCATAAGGCTAAAACTGGGCTACGTGCAGCTGGAAACTGGAATGAATCTCTCCTTAAACTCCAGAGACTGGAGAGAATAAAATGTGATTTGAGATGCACCTGGATTTCCCCCCCTCTACTCTTCTGCAGATGGGTGCTGTGGTCCAGTTCTGACGGGGCACCAGGGGGAGCTGTCACGCTGCAATTTTATGGTGAACAGTTTTTAGTGGAATAAAGTAACGGTTTAACACACATTTGTCTTCAAGAGTCTGGTGCACAGACCGTGGTGTTTGAACAGCTGCGTCCTTTCAGATCCCTCATTCAGACCAAGTGGTGGGGGAGGAGGAGAGACAGGAGGGCCAAGGCACCCAAATGTACTGATTTAGGTTGCAGAATTACAAACTAGGTACCTTTAAATATCTGCCCCTTAGTCCTTTGGCTCAAGATATAGATGCTCCTGTTCAGCTCTACAGCGCTCCTGTTCAATCCCTGGTGCTAATCTAGCTGACAGTCACTACAGAGTGTTTGGCACCATGTAATATTGATGTTTGCATCCATGCAGGTAGTTGCAACTGCTGCCTACAGACTAAGAAATTATTTGGTCAGAGAGACTAAGTAGTGATCAGATTTCCTCTGCTCCATGCACAGCTTGTAAACATGTGATTCCCCATAACTAACAATAAACATTTCTCCAAGATCTAGCTCCCTGCACAGGCAGTTAGAGAGAACTGGTCAGTCTGTGTGATGGCACCATCTGGTTGTGTTAAATATTATTTAAGGAGTAGGTTAAAATAAGGACCCCTTATAATAAATAATATTAGCAAAATCTGTTTCAAATTGAATTTGAAACAATAATTGAAAATGTACAAATATATAGGGAGGTACTTTTTTTTAATAAAAAAAACTTATTTAAAATAAAGCCTTAACTGGAGGTTATATTTGAAATGTGAGTGTCTTTGTATTTGTTAAAACTGAGGATTCAGATTTTTAAAAAACCCGCAGCCAATGTACAGGGAGTGGATTTGCATGAAGGGGCCGTTCTCCAGCGCTGGGGGTTTAAGAGGGAATCGGAGGGTCCCAGCCACAGACCCGTTTGCCTCAGGAAGCCGAGCTCGTCTGGATTCCCACCATGGCCTGGGCCCCTCTGCTCCTCACGCTGCTCACTTACTGCTCTGGTAAGGGGGAGCATTTCACTGAATTTCTCCATATTCCTGATTCCCAGACTCCTGGCTCAGCAGGAAATGTGCAGGTGTTAACTCCAAGCCATGATGATCATGCAGCAGTTTCTCTTTCTTTCCAGGTTCCCTCTCCCAGGTTACTCTGACTCAGCCGCCCTCAGTGTCAGTGTCCATTGGCAACACAGTTAAACTCTCCTGCGCCTTTGACAATAGATACACATTTGGAAGTGTCCTCTGGTACCAACAGAAAGATGGGAACAGCCCAAGATACCTTCTGAGTTACAACAGTGACTCTGACAAGCACCAGGGCTCGGGGGTCCCCAGTCGCTTTTCTGGTTCCAAAGACGCCTCTAATACAATCTGTTACTTAACCATCACCAGCGTCCAAGCAGAGGATGAGGCTGATTATTACTGTGCTGCATATGCTAGTGGTGCTACACAGTGATTCAGCGAAGTGGGGAACTGAGACAAAAACATCCTCCTCCATCCGTCAGCCTGTGTTGCCCATGAGTTCAGTCTGTGGCAGTGCATTGTGATCATCCAGACGGATGCATTATGGTTTTACTATTCACTCTCTCAGTTCCCAGTCAGGGTAGCTACTATGATTTATCAACTTCTGGACACTTACGGACAAATCTTGGTCCCATTCAACCCCCTGGGAGTTTTGCCGTTCACTTCCATGAGACTAGGATTAGACCCTGTTTATGTGCCACAAGCCCCTGGGGGTTCATCTGGGCTCCTGTAGATGATGCAGCTAATGGCATGGATGGCTCCTAGCCCATCAGCTCTTTGGGGCAGGGTCTGTTGGTTGCTCTGTCTGTAATAAGAACTAACTAATGATGAAGAGCGATGCTGGCACTTTGCGGGCTGGAAGGAGGCTCGGCTGCACACAGGCACCTTATCACCCGCCCCCTGGGACACTTTCCTCCCAGGACCTGCCCACAGGGCCGGCTGCAGGCACCAGCCCACCAAGCATGTGCTTGGGGCGCCACCTTGGGGCGGGGCGGCGCTCGGGTCTTTATTTATTTATTTATTTATTTA